TAAGTACTCAAAGTAACATGTGATCTCCTATTCCTCACACCACCAACCTCTCACAAAGCTCAATGTATCATATCTCATCACTGATCTACTGGCAGTACCTGATATGCAGGAGTCATATCTTATAACTAGATATCCAACCTACAAATGCTCCCAGTCTCATACCCACTTCTCACTGCTTCCACATGCCTCCAGAAATTCACCTGGCTATTTCCCAAACACCATCCATCAGAAGAAGTGATATTCTTCCCTCTTCTCTCTGTTGCAGGACAAGGTGGTGCATCAATAGAGGCAAGCAGAACATACTGGAGATGGACTAGGACACCAGCATCTCGTGTGCATTCATGAGAGCTGTGGCATCAGTGACACTGCAGATATTGAGAATGGTAGTGTGTTCCTGCTTTAGGCTCCTTCTCAATTCCGAGCACAGAGTAGTCTTGAAACCTGCCATGGTGTGTAAGCTGCTGATGTTATGACCTTGACCTTTTTGTCTTCCACCCAATACCATTTAACTCACGTAAATCTTCCTGCTTTCAGACTCTGCAAATAAAGTATAGTAACCTCTCTACCAAGTACTTTTAAGTATTAATTATTTTTAGCTCCATTTTCCTATCCTTCCTTCATATTTAGACTTGAGCATTTTCTCAATGAGAGATGTTAACCCAACTGGATCATAACTGTCTGCTTTCTTGTCTCCCTCCTTTCTTGAATTGATTGTTACTTTTACAACTTCCAAATGACAGGTATGTTTGCAGAATCTAGGGAATTTTGGTAGATCATAACCAATACCTCACTATCTCTGCAGCCACTTCTTTTAAGACCTTAGAATGCAGATCATTGTGTCCAGGGGACTTATCAGACTTTAGTCACTTCAGTTCACCCAATATATTTTCTCTAGTGACCATGTTATGACCAGGTGAAGAGGGCTGAATCAGCTCCTCTTTTTTCCAATTTCTGCAGTTAGTCGCAACAAAAATTTAATGATATTTTTAGCACACAGCCATGCCTCACTCTGATTAAACTGTAGTTAACTAGTGCACCAGAAACATCAAGGAAACAATTACAGGATTTTTTGAGTGAAAGAAGGAGAAATTTTGTTAGTTACCAACTCTGATTAAAATAATAAAGATGAGACATCAGACACACACACTCAAACAAAAGTCCAAAGTTTAAAAGGGCATTATGTCCAGTACAAAAAAAGATCAAAGAAGATACTGTCTAAAGCCCTTTGGGTGTCCTGAAGGTGTAAGATGTCAACCTGAAACCATGATTGATAGTGATGCCCTGGAACAATAACAGCTGTGAATATCACAGGTGTCTTTGAGATCTCAGCATTCAGATATGTCTCAAATTTGTGTCGTCAGTACTTGCTTTGTCCCTCCTAAGCGAGAGCTTCATCCAGGTCTTCTGCTCAAAATCCATCTCTAATATGTGAAACTTACCTCACAGCTGTAAATTAAAAACAGGACATATGACACCTGATTGGTTTCAGTCTTTTTTGGTAATGGGTTCATTTTGGTTCAGATTGTTTTCTGTACTCTCCATTTAGTTTAACAATGTTTTTCCCTCTTAAAACCATTACAGTCAATGAAAGTCTATTATTAAAATCAGATGATGGAATTTTACAACTAATAGTCCATATTTTACCACAATCGTGATGCCATGATTGCTTTACATTCCTCCCAAATGCCTCTTAATTTCCCAATATTTTGGGAGTGCTTTTTATTCCTTATACTGTGAAACAGATACAAGAGGTTTCTTCAAAGTGTCTGCCTTTCACCTATTTCTGATAATGAATTCTCATAGCACACCCGTTAAGGATAATACACTGTAGCCATTTATTTCCTTCTTAAGTACTTGTAGAAGCTTTTACTATCTTTTCAAATATTGCTTGCTAGTTTTCTCTCATTTTTCACTTTCTGTCTCTCTTTCTCTTGTCATCTTTTACTAGTTTCATATTGTCCCAATCTCTAGTGTACCATCAATTAAATATTATCCTTAGCTTCCTTACTTAACTTATTATTAACTTAGTGCTTGGTGCATCCATCTGTTGTTCTTTTTTTCTCAAATGCAATATGTCTTTAATAGTTAAGAACTATCCACTTAAATGTCTGCCACCCCCTCTCTATCATTTAACCTTTTAATCTATTTTCCTGTTCCACTTTAGCCAACTCTCTCTTCATCATCTGTAATGCCCTTCATTTAGGTTTATAATTTTAGTTTCAAACTCACATTTCTCATCCTCAACCCAAATGTAAAATTCCATTATGTTATGATCACTCTTACAGTAAAGACAGCATAATTTTATTCTTTTGTATTTTTTATTATGGACTGACATTGGAAAGACCTGTTTTAAAAACCAAAGATTGTTAAAGGATTACTGCAGATTTTAAAAGCAAGCAATCTGAAATTTGTTGCAAGCATGGTTTATACAGCTGCTGGATTAGGTAGTAGTAGAAGAGGGTACAGATGAACTGAAGCCAATATGTACAAATGGATATTCAACCAACAACATGCAGCTGATAGATCTGTGAAGAAGTGACCAGTTATCAATAACAAAGACAACACAGTGTGAAGCTGGAGAAACACAGCAGATCAGGCAGCATCATAGGAGCAGGAAAGTTGACGTTTCGTGTCAGGACCCTTCTTCAGAAATGGGGAAGAGGAAGGGAGCTGGGAAATAAATAGATAGAGGAAGGGTGGGGACAGGGAAGGTAGGTGGGATGGTGATGGGTGAGTGCAGGTAGGGAGTGGTGGGGATTGGTCAGTGGGATGGGTGGGGCGGATAGGTGGGAGAGAAGATGGACAGGTTGTGTCAGGTCAAAGAGGCGGGGATGATTCAGGTGAGTGTTGGACATGGGATGAAGCCAGGGTTGAGGAGATTTTAAAACTGGTGAATTCCATGTTTAGGCCATTAGGCTGTAGACTCCCAAAGTGGAATATGAGGTGTTGCTCCTCCAAGTTTGTGGGTGGTGTCATTGTGACACTGGCAGAGGCCTGGGATGGACATGTCACCCAGGGAGTGGGAGGGGGAGTTAAAATGGTTGGCGACCTATCACCATTCCACCTACATTCCCCAGCCCCACCCCTCCTCTCTCTATTCATTTCCCAGCTCCCTTCACCCACCCCCTTTTCTGAAGAAGGCACCTGACACGAAACGTCAACTTACCTGCTCCTATGATGCTGCCTGGCCTGCTGTGTTTCTCCAGCTTCACACTGTGTTATCTCTGACTCCAGTATCTGCAGTTCTTGCTATCAATAACAAAGGCCTTCTACCTGCCAACAACTGTGTGATTAATCCTTAGATAGCTGAATACCTTGGGGCTATGTGCAAGATGGGAAGAAGTTATTTGATCTCTACCAGCTCACTGTTTTCTGCAGTGAATGTCATTTTAAGCCTGAAGAAAACCAGTTATTTTTCTTTCAGCAGTTGAAAGCTGTGCCTTTAAATTAACAAATCAGAGACCTTTGAAGTTTGAGTCAGCCACCCTATGCCTCCTGCAAACCAGTGAAACTATCCACTGAAGGAAGACTGAGAAACATCTTTCTTAATAGCACAAGAGCCATCTCAGCAGATCCTATGAACAGAGACCACTGAACTGCTTTCCAAGTTTTCCCTCCATCTATAGCATCCATGTTTGTTTTCCTGTCTGTGTCTGCCTCTGTGGGAATGTAAGAGCGGGAGTTTAAAGGGGGTTAGATTTTTAACTAGTAGACTTATATGCCAATTTGATTACCTCTAGCGTCAATTTACTTGTAATGAATAGTAATTTGTATTAAGTATAAAAACTTGGTCTATGCTTTCTGTCAATCTGGATCTGGAAAGCAGGGAAATTAAAGAATAAGGCATACTTCTATAAAATGTAGCTGTTGTGATGAGTCCGGAAATAGTGAGGCTTGATTTCCATTATGCTGCCCCAGTGAGGCATAACATTACGAAGAAGATGCTTTATGATGAGGCAATTAATGAGTCTGGTTTAATTACACACTGCTTAGTCTAAAACAGATTCACTGTTTGGTTTCAGAACATGTTGTTCCAAGAAACTGTTCTAAATGCACTCTATGAACTCTATAAAAGATTTAACTCTGGACCTTTTTGGGCATGTAGGAGAACATTGAATGCATGCCAAGATGCTGACTTTGGCCTGTCAGATAGCTTCCTGTCACTGTTAATGAGCATAGAGGCATCTGACTCCAAGTTGGCAGAGAGAATGGTACAGATCTTGAACTTTCCTCAGCCTCCTTTATCTCCCTGTCCAGCTGCAGATCGAGAGGCCCTGCCAATGCTGACTCCGTATTCAGTACAGAGTTTTTATATACAGGTAACCTAATCTATGTTAGCATCAAGCAGCATTCTCTGGCAAATGCAAAACTCATTAAATGATCACCAAAAAAAAATCGCAAGTACTTCCAGCCACGTTGCAATAGAAAAAGTTCCAAAAATTACTTGCCTTGCAACCAAGGTGTATGTGTCTGCAGGACCCAAATTGCAGCTTCACACTTCTATTTTGTTGACCAGAAAAATGTAGTCTCTACTGGACATTTATTCCCAAAATTTGGGACCCTGATGTTACATCAGCTGGCTGGGTGTGTGATAACACTATAGCATCAAATCAAAGTCATTCATCACATCTGCATGTACACATATCTTTGCAGAATGGTGCACAGATGTTGGCTGTTGGTGCATCATGCTCCTGGGAAATATGGGTAAGCATCTAGCATTATAATTAAACTGAATTTCATGGCCATTATTTTCAACTTGGAAGTATAACCTTCAACCACATGAGCTGTCCAGTTTCAACTGTAACATCTGTAGTATGGAAAGAATTTGATTAAGTTGAGGACACCTCAATAACAGCATTCCACATAAACTAGATGCTTTAGTGAGTTAATGATTGACTAAATTGTTTACTTCAATGTTGAGTTCTATTATTGTAAAATGTACACAATAGAAGTGCTAATAAATAAATAAATGTTTTGGTTTTCAGTGTAAATAGCCCTACCTTTTAATCAGGATTTGTAGATTTTCACTGGTCCCGTCAATCAACTGCATGGCTTCTGAATGGGTTAATTCTGAACAAGGTTCACCGTTGATTGCGATCATTTCATCTCCCTCACATAATCCAGCTCTGCAGGCCTTACTCTTCTTCCGAACCTAGGATCGTGACAAACACACACTAAACCATTTTGGCTCGAAAACTGCATGATTTTACAATGCTGTTGGAACCAAGCAAAGCACTATTTAAGAGGACATAAGTAGTTCTTTACACATACTCAGCTAAATTTTCCCATTTGTAGTTTAATTGTTTTGAACAGTGAGTTTCTTGGCTTCTGGTCCTCTGTGACTCAGAATGTCATTTCTCATTCAATCTTCCTTTTCTCACCTCATTAATTATACAACAGGACTCCTTCATGGAACCAGGCAGCAAAAAGAGGCAGAAATAATTGCCACTGCCAGACCTTGCAGTTATTATGCTGCTGGTACAATGTTTAAACCCCAGCACTTTAGATGCTGCAAACCACAAATTGCTCCTTACGTTCTGGTGTTCGACAATTATTACTGAGGGAATGGCCCAAAAAGGCAAGCTAGCTCCCTGCCTTGTGGGTGGAAACCTGGAGGTGCTTGTGGTTGGGGTCATGGAGAGGAGCACTATCCTTTTTGTGACATATGGCCAAAGGAGGCTATGCCACCAGACTCATCCGACCTGCCCACAGATAGGGCTGGGTCAGTGCCATGTCCTGGGTTAAACGGCAATCCATCAATGCTTCTTCTTTCTGCTAATCTATACTCATAGGGCAGCACTCTCTCTCACTCTGCCACTGCACACACTTCTCACCAAGGCTCATGTGCTCCAACTCTCACTACTGCATGCATCGTGTCCACTTAACAACTCTCACTCGCTTCATTCTCACAAACTACTAACCTTTACTGCCCTCTGTTCTTCCTACACACTCACTGGGGACACCTCACCATTTCTGCTGCTCCTGTATCACCATTAAACACCCTTCCATCTACATCTATGACACTCAAACGCTCCCTCTGCCTCACTGCAGGAAGCATTGGTGACAACCCAGGCTGAGAGAGCCAAGACTGGCAAGGGCAGCGGACGTACATTTAGTTATGTATGTATAGGTGTCTGTGTGTAGTATGTTTGTTTATATTTATAAAATAAATATGTACACATATTTAATTATTTACTAAGAAATGATTATTTATTAAGAAACCAATGAAGCACTGTTTTAAAAGGACAAAATAAACAGGGAGATTAAAGACATTAAAGACATTAAGGGTATGGGGAAGAGTATGCATATGGTGTTGAGAAAGAAAATTAGCCATGATCGTACTGAAGGGTGGAGCAGGCTGATGGGCTGAGTGACTTATCCCTTAGTCCCATTTTCCACCTTTCTATGAAATAAGGTTCTTTACTTCTTTTGGTAGTAGATCTGGCCAGATAGAAGCTTCTCACTTAGTCTCACATTTGGGATCGACAACACAATCACAGTACAGCACTGTTAATGTTTTGACCCCTCATCATCATCATCTTCATTAATAAGACTGAGTCTTAGTGCAGTGAATTTAAAATCCTTATACTTCAAATATAGATTCCTCCTCCTGTCTTATGTCCTCTCCAATCCCTTTCCATACACTCCATGAGTTCTGACTGCTTTTCAGTATGTCTTGCCTTCCTCTCATCTACCACTGGTGATGCAGTTTTAGCGTTCTTCTGTAGAACATCACCCACTTTACTTGATTCTCTTTTTTCAGTCCCTGCTTTTGAGAATCTTCCAAAAGTTAGGTCTTTGAACCACCCCTTCACTATCACTTCTGTCTTAGGAGTTTTTCTCCAGTTGACGGCATTATACACGACAAAGTTGCTGTGAAAGCCATGAAATGTCACATCCATCCTCATCCATTTGATATCTTAGTGAATGTTATCAATAAATTCCTACATTATTTAACTATAAAATACTTTCTGCCTTTCACAGAGCAAGGCTAATTTCATTTGATTGGTTTAGATTTTTCAAAGTTTTGACTTATTCTGTCTTTCATAATGTGCTGCAGTAATTTTTCAGCTGTGAAAATCCATTTCAGCTTATTCATTTGTTTGGCTTTTATTATTCATTCCTATCCTTCTATTTGCACTAAAAAAAATGCGTTATCTCCCTTTCTCCAATCTGTAGACATTCCTGTGTCTTTCATAACAGCCCATTGAGAAGACTGTGAAAAATATCTTTATCTAGCTCTTGCATATTCTGATCTCCTGCGAATGGAAGAATTAAATTTGATTTTAATTATTCCAAACCTCTAAGTTTGCTAGAATAATTGGTGGAGGAGAGTAGAGGATATAACTTAGTACCCAGCTGTGAGACAACAAGGTGCAGGGCTGGATGAACACAGCAGGCCAAGCAGCATCATAGGAGCAGAGAGG